CAGGATTCTGTCTTGTGGTTGGAAGCTAATAAAAGCTATCGAACTAGACCTGTACTATCTCATGGAGTTCTTTGGGCTGAACCTGACACCAAAGCAGTGACGAAAGTCTCAGTTAAGACCATGCAGCAAAGCCCCAGGAAGATCCCCAAGTTCTCTCAGTGGGGTCCATCAGGTGCCTGAGGTAGACTGATCAAATAGATCCCACTTAGTTTCCTTTTTTTGGCCTTTGCTCATTGAGAAGGTGATTGAACTCTCTGATGGTTTTGCATCAACCTTTTCAACAATTACTACTTTTTCTTATATGGCAGAACTGGACAAGGTATTTCTGATGTGGGCATATTATTGATTTGAATAAAAACACTGCAGCATCGCAAGTTCCATTTTCAATCCCTTTCCTCATGATCTCTAGCATGGAATATATCTTCACAGCCTCTGCACTCTGAGTCAATGTCTTTACTATGACCCCAAGATATTTTTTCTGGTTAGTGACAAACAGCTCAGATGCCATCAGCGTGTATATGATGTTAGGCGTGCTTTTGCTCCAAGTGCATCTTTTTATTGTTGCTTAAGCTGGACTGCATTTGCTGTTTGATTGAACATTCAGCCAGTTTTAAAAGATCCTTCTGAAGCTTTTCACAATCACAATTTGATTTTGATTGTCCTAAGTAGTTTCATATAACCTGGAAGCTTGGACAGATCACCACTTACCCCATTTTTTAATTCCCTCTGTTAAGGACTCTCAGGTGGATGCCATTTTGGACCCAGTGATTTGTTACTGTGTAGTGTCTCAAGATGTCCTAAGATACCTTCTCCGGTTATTTCAGTTTGCTGTAGTTGTTCCAATTCCCTCCCTGAAAAAGTTAGTACTAGTTCAGGTATCACAAATACTAATCCTTTCCATATGTATTTGAAAGGATATGCATTTCAGTGTATGATGTGTCCTTTCCTCTGTTCTATGACACACTCATGTGTATAGGAATGTATTAATGTTGTGTAGCTTTACACGCGGTGGCGCAGTGGCTTAATGACGCTGAAAGTTGCCGGCCAGAAATGGCTGACGCTTCGGCGGTTCGAGTCCAGTCTTCGCTCTAAACAGGGTGAGCTCCTGTTTCCTCCCCAGTTTCTTTCTAACCCACAGGTCCAAAACACCACTGAGTAAG